ATGATATTAAGTTTGCACCTGCGGCAATGAAGCACAATATGCGCGCGGTGATTGCTGGGTTGAAAGCAAGCATATCGAACAACTTTGTCCCCGATCTCATTCATGAGGTTGCGAACCTTTTGCATCCGCTTTTCAAGGTGGTGGCAGCCAACCAAAAAGGCGTACGTGCAGCGACACTGGCTCACATGGGGATAAAGGCTGCGGCATTTCCCAATCTGCTGCACCAAGAGACGGAGACCGGGCTGGATGAGGCGGTCATGGAAGGTGTGCGACTGCCAACTTTCATATCTTTTGCGCCACCGACAAGCACGGGAGATGGTAAGGGTGCGGCAGATCGACCCGCGAGTCTACGCAAGACATGCTCGAAAAGGAGCTGCGATACTATTTGGGACAGAAGCTGTCTACGAAAGAAATCCTGGAAAGCTGTCACTTTCCGAACAATGACGACAAGGACACTTACGTGTACTTTGACATACTTGGCTACTGGAAGTCCAGGGCAAGCAAGTCCCCACTGCTCGCAAAAGCTTGCCTCGTTTGTTCTGGCTATCCCGGCAAGCAGCGCAGAATGCGAGCGCACCTTTAACACCGCGCGCTTCATCAAGTCCGTGCTGCGCTCCGCGCTTTCCAGTGACTCCTTGGAAGGCAACGTCGTTCTTCGTGACAATCCGAACCTTCTCGCGAAGTACCTTGGTGAGATTAAAGAGTCCGACACCGAACCCGAATAAACAGATCAATAACCATTTGTGCTGTTCAAAGTCATTACCTAAACTCCATCGCAAGGCCGCGAAACCTGCAATCCCTCTTTGAAGTTTCAGTGTTGATCAAGCGAGGTTGACTTGCAGGTAATTTGCCGTCCCAGCGCTGACGAGTAGATTAAACGTGCCGTGAAAATCATCAAGTGGTGGTGTTGAATTCAATTGACTTTTTCAGAAGTTGAAGGGTTAGTGGGTCGGTGGGTAAGTTTAAGTTACCCAAGGGTTGGGTCGTGGGTTACCCACGGGCAGTTTTGGAGTGGTGGGCCGACCCAATTCGAGGGTTACCCACGACCCACCGACCCATGCAGGGCCCTGCGGCAGGCGGTAAATTGTGAATGGTAATTATGAGCTACTATTCCAACAAAAACGTCTTTTATAACGAATATATACAGCAAAATACCGCATTTTGTATAGTATTTTTAACCTGATTGACAATTACTCTCAAATGCTATTGATATTTTTCACCACGAAGATCTCCAAACAAGATGCTCTTGAAGTAGTCGGTTATGTCACAGCGCATCAGCAATTATCTCGTACAGCAGCTGTCACATCGTGCCAATGTACAAACCCATTTCTACGATATGTTATTCCATAGTCGAGCTGGAGAGAGAGAAAGATGTACATCAAGCACTTGCGAGCATTGCTCAAGTGTATGCGCTTTCAATTAAGCTCTTTGCCAAATTTGACAAGTGTGTCTATAGCGCCGACGAGATTTCTATTTTAGTTGCTTCATTTGGAAGCATTGCCTGCGGGAAGATCCCACGAAGATCAAGGCCATCTAAGATTATTTAGCACCTCAGCATGTAATGAAGTTATGCGATTTGGCTTGACCTGGACAACTACTTGAGCAAGTATGAAGTATAATCCGAGTGGCAATATGACGCTCCAGCGCCTCGGCGTCTCAGCGGAAACGCTGCAAAGAACGTCTTCGATGACGCGATTTACCCTTTTTGGCTTGGCCATTGGTATGCGGATGACCCGCTGTCGACATATCCAACTTGGTGCCTAGCACCTTGAAGATATTCGACCAAAATTTCCCGTGAAACGGGGGTTTGTATCAGAGACAATCGACTCTAAGAGTCTGTGTTTTCGGAAGACACGATCCACGAACAGCGTTTT